GAGTTCTTTGGTTCTTTTTCATCCTTTTTATGCTTCTATTATTACATATGTAATTAATTCAAATCAGGAATAGTTTCCACCGACCTTCAGAGTTAGGTTCCTATCACAAGACAGACATAGTGGAATGAAATTGGTTTAGTATAGGAGTTACGGAAGTTGAACATAGAATAGGCTGCGCTACGGGTAGTTTCACAGAAAACCGCAAATTGCTATACAACCAAAAATTGTTCTAAAATATCTAAACTGACAGCTGTATGCAACCGCTTTATATAATAAATGTTTAAAAATAGTTTCGAACGAACGAAATCTGTAAATCTTATCCAGTATCATCTTTCTTCGAACACTGTAGATTGGCGCTACATAATCACAAAGAACTACCGCATAACAGAAAGCACACCAACTGAATATCTCATGTCAATCGATGAGAAAATATTTACATAATCAAGTATTTGATCTTCCGCACGACTTCAAACAAAAGCTTAGGAAGGAAATGCCCATCAATACTGGAAAAATCAATAATAATTACTGTTAGTTATTTTCCTGAAAAATTGTTTTAATACAAAGATTTTATAACTTTCAAGCGAAACTGGCACTGGCTGGTCAGTGATGCATGCCGAATGTTTCCTTATAAGGAAACGACTAATATTATCATTCCCTTTAACATAAGTGTAACACAAGGCAGCAGTTACGTAGCATCACGTAATGCTTGTTCTCATTACCATATTAAGGATCTGTTACACCACTTTACTAACTACTACTCCATTGCAATGTGAACCCAGTTATTGATTATATTTATTTGCTTTTGGATATAAGTATAAATAGAGTAGATGTAGAGATCTTGCATGTTTTGACAAGGAGCATTTGAAATGCTGGCTTTACATGACCTTGATTAACGTCAACTAACGCTCCCAGCAAACACGTACTTATCAGGCCCATCAAGCTGGCATTAATCATAGTCTAGACTGACAAAAGGACACAGTAACTGAGGGACCTAATTGGAATCTAATTTCTCTACCTAGCGTACTAGTTTTCAAGCATAGCCTGCTAACCATTGTGCAATGATAAACATGTCAAGTTAACCTAAATCTCTGACCATTTCCGGTTGAGCGAATTCCCGGAGACAGGTGTGGATGATGTAACGGTAATAAGTGGCGAGTGAAATCAGCGAGCCGAGTTCAATTTCCAGTTGATTTTAATTCGTTCATTTCGTGCTAACAATACTGGAAAAGATATGAGTCCATGTCTCTCCAACTACGTGTTAAATCGTAGGGCAGGGGCTCAGGTTTTGCTCGCAACTTGCCAAGGAGAAGGAAAACTTTTAATTCAAAACCAACTTAAAGAGAGATGGGCTCCATCAGGCTTTGACATTCTGATTTTGTTATAAATGCTTTACATGTGTTGACCTAAAGATCAAATGTATTGTTATGTGACAACGTGGAAAATAAATCTATTTGGATTTATTTGGCGGCAGTAGATGTGATGACCCGACAATTCCCCCTACCACACCCGACCGCTCCAAAAATTAAGGATAATGGAAACGAAAGGGATTCAGAAAGAGACAGTTGAAGTTTCAAGTGCACATAATGAGGAATGAAGGCATGGAAAATTAGACACTCAGAGGAAACATTGAAAACAAGGAGGTCAACAAGCAACTTACCTTACGAACTTGAGTAAACGAATGGCATAACAGAGATTTGAGTAGATAGCAACATAACTTACTAAGCGTTAAAAACGATGGGAAATTGTGGGGAGCCATGACAGCCCATGTTCTGAAGGAACACATCTCATACAAGAAATATAGATAGTATTTTGTATAAGGAATTTAAGAAAAACAAATCATCGCATTTATTTCGTCTTCTTCTGCTGCTTATTATTATTATTATTCCTCAGTGTAAATTATTATTATTATTATTATTATTATTATTATTATTCCTCAGTGTAAATACTGATATTGATTGGTTTGACCCCAACTGAATTTGTCTCTTATTTAATGATATAGTTTGAAATCAATATTTCTAAAGTGCGCATGCGTATTAGCCCGTCTCTGTCTCCAGACGTCAGAATCTGGAAACCTTTGGAACGCTGTGAAAGCAACTTGGCCGTACGTTCTTAAGGTTGGTTATTGATTGGGTGGGGGTCCAGTTCTAAGGTCAGGGTTAGAGAGTCTGGAAGAATGAACCTTCCACAAAGGCAAATGACATATGAAATAGTGTAAATCTACAATCAACGAATTCGTATTTGCCAGTTTTCTAGGCATTAAACACTTGCAATATCTTCACCGATAAACTGCGGATGACGGAATATTCAGTCACTGCATTTTTTTTTTGGGGGGGGGCTTTTACGGAAATTCCTATCAGTCATACATTTAATTATTATTTGGTGTAAATGACTAAAAATTTTTCTTATTAAAGTTATCACAGAATTTAGAAAACTCCACCCCAGCTGGTCCGCAGTGAATATGTTAAATCGAATATATAAAAAGTAAAAGGACAATTAGATCAATTTAAAAAAAATAAAAAATTGCTGTTTACCATAAGACGAAAGTTAGCCTTTTCTACGGACATTCAACGGAGCTCGTGTTGTGAATCCAATTTTCACGGGGGCTCAGAGTGTTGCGGCCTTGTGTCAGGCTAAAAGACGCTGAGTAAATAATTATTTCTAAAGAAAATATACTGTTTAGATTTATTTACTAAATAATCACTTTAGCGCGCAACGCTGCAAGATGTTCTCCTATGGGGTTACCCAGATAAATGCTGATCAGATTCCATAGTTCTTAACTTCGATAATTAAGTTACTTAATACCATGCAGAAAGCTGCTTACACTCTCCAGTGTACCAAGTGATAACCTCGCAAATATTGATCCGTTTGAACATTGCTTCACTTTGATGATCAATTTATTTTATATGATTTATTAGCCTGGCATATTCCACAATATGTTCAAGCTATCTGTTGTTGTTGTTGTTTGTTTTTTTTTCTAAGCGGTCACACATCTTACTGATCAGATTCGGTGGTGCTTAACTTCGGTGATCAGATAATAACCAGTGTTTTCAAATTGACTTGATAGTTAAATATTTACAAATATTAGTGTAGAAAAAGTCGACGTATGTGGAGCGCTCAGTGACTGTCGAGGTGTTATTGCTAATGGTTCCACTACGATGAAAGTATTTCACAGGAGAAATGTATGATTTCACAGCGTTACACAAAGTTAAAAGTTTTTGTTAAACCAGTTTAAGATTTTATCATTTCACTATCAAAGCGAGTCTTTATTAAGGGCGTTAAAGAATACAATTTTGCCTTCATGGTAATTTATTTGAAAACAAAGATGGCTGCCGTTTGGAAAAGATACTTCATGATTTTTTTTTCACACTAATTTGATTTTGTTTTCTATTTCTGTTATGACAATCCAGGAAATTTATTCTCTGATTATGTACCGAATCCACAAAGTTTTGTCGTACAAAGAAAAGAATAAATAACTTTGATTGTTATTTTTTTCTACGGTAATTTCATCTTATGAATATTCTGCAAAGAGGCGATTTTTAGATTAAGTTTTCGCATTACCGATTGTGCATTAGTCGTGCTTTGTCCTCGAAGACGTTTTTAAGAATTTCTATGTCATCGAAACTCGCAGTAGAAAACGCATTACTTAACAATATATTTAATGATGATATTTCGTTTAATCCCATTCCCGACATATATTCTATTCTGGCCTACGCACAGACAGCGATATATACAGAATGCGAAAGGTATTTAAAAACACACAGATAAGCGATGCAAAATGCAATACGACCTAACATCATGTTGCTCGGCATGCGCCAAATGTTAACATACATATTCCACTTACGAACGCATGGCAACGTATAATCTGATACAGGAAAGAAATAGGCAGGCTGGAATTAATTTCCATCCAAACCACTCAAACATTTTTGCTTAAAGATGCCAAATTTGGTATATGGTCTCCTTGATAGAACTTTTATGAAGAAACAATGGCATTCCAGACTTGCTAAACATTGTGCTTAAAATAAACATCTGAGGGTCGTTTGTTTAATGGCATATCAACTCTTTATGAGTCAATTAATGCTGAAATTTATTTTTCTTAGGAGCGTCAGTAATTTATTTTAAAAAATGTATCGATCGTATTTATTTTTACTACACAAATATATTGCTGGTAATTTTTACTAGGAAAATATGCAGCTGGTATTTTTACTATAAAAAACGTACGTTTATACTTTCATATTGTTTTGACCCCAGTTCAAGGTGTTGACTATTTGCCCATAGTTGGGGCCCAAACAGGAGCTACTACTCCGGGTCAGGATAGACCTGGGAACAACTCCTATTAAGAGGTGGTTCCACGCTCCTCAAAACCTTCTGATCAGAGATCTTGCTGTTGGATGTAGTTCATCGTCATACCATGGGCACTAAGAGCTTCGTGAATGTAAGGAACAGAAAAGAATCAATTGTAAATGAGGGTGTGTCAGAGAGAGGTGGGGGTGAGTATCTGCATTCTGGGAAAATATCGATACTTTCTATGCGAGATTTATAGAGACCCACTCTTGACAATTGGGGAGAGTAGAAAGATTTAATTTCTTTATTGGGAAAAGCGATATCTAAATATCCAGAAATCTTCTGCGATTAAAAGCTTTTATAACGACCAAAAAACATTATTAGAGATCTTGTCATTTTCTTATTCAGAATTGATTAAATCGATCACAACGAAGTTAATAAAATCGAACATTTTTTTATTCTGAAGGTTAATTTCTATTTAAGTTCTACATAAGCTCGAAATAAAGGTTGATATTTTTGAAGAAATCTAATCTTAAGTTTGTTTTTTTTTAATTTTCATTAATTTATAGGTTGTAGAAACATTTCAACGAAAAAAAATTCATAGAGTCACCTTTTGCAATTAAGATAGATAGACAGAACCACTTGAGAAAGAAAGAACCACCACAGATAGATAAAATTACCTGATATATATATATATATAGAGAGAGAGAGAGAGCCGCCTACGTTCGAAACAAAGAACCATCTGATATGAAAAGAATATCCACTTGAGAAAGAAACCATAAACCACTGTAGATAGATAGATAGATAGATAGATAGATAGATAGAACCAGTTGAGGAAGAAACAACAAACCACCGTAGATAGATAGATAGATAGGTAGATAGATAGATAGATAGAACCAGTTGAGAAAGAAACAACAAACCACCGTAGATAGATAAATAGATAGAACCAGTTGAGAAAGAAACAACAAACCACCGTAGATAGATAGATAGATAGATAGATAGATAGATAGATACAACCAGTTGAGAAAGAAACAACAAACCACCGTAGATAGATAGATAGATAGATAGATAGATAGATAGATAGATACAACAAACCACCAGTAGAGAAAGAAACAACAAATCAGATAGATAGATAGATAGATAGATAGATAGATACAACCAGTTGAGAAAGAAACAACAAACCACCGTAGATAGATAGATAGATAGATAGATAGATAGATAGATAGATAGATAGATAGATACAACCAGTTGAGAAAGAAACAACAAACCACCGTAGATAGATAGATAGATAGATAGATAGAACCAGATGAGAAAGAAACAACAAACCACCAGATAGATAGAGATAGATAGAAGAAGAAACAACCAGTTGAGAAAGAAATAGATAGATAGATAGATAGATAGATAGATAGATAGATAGATAGATAGATAGAACTAGTTGAGAAAGAAACAACAAACCACCGTAGATAGATAGATAGATAGATAGATAGATAGATAGAACCATTTGAGTTCGATAGAAAGAAACATCTGATGAATAAAGAAAGTTGGAATACTGAAAGAAAGAAGTAAAAAAACACCAAAAATAGATAGAATCACCCGAAAAAGAAAGAAAGCGCCAACATAGACAGATAAGAGGCTGCGCTCCGGTAAAATACAGGATTCGACCATTGATTTTGAAGGCAGGTAAAAAACGCCACAATTGAGAAATTGGCATAATTAAACCTTCCTCTACTCTATTTATCCTTATTTCTGTTTGTTACATGTTTAAAGACTACCAATGATTACTGAGATTCTTACTGTTATGTTCGGTCGATGTTCAAAGTAAAAGACATCACAATCTTTCTACTCCCGATATGAACCAGTGCTGTACTAAGCTTATTCCGTGATACATCTAAATTGACATGCACAGGCAAGGAAGGGTAGGTATAAAAAGAGGATCAGCTGATTGCGAGCAACGAATAAATACGGAATAAATTGAATGATCATTTGTTTGATCGTACGTACTGATTAGGGAAAGAATGCTTGTTCAAGTATTCCACAGCAGATAAGGAGACTTCCAATTTTGAATCAAAGCGAAAGACCTGTTACTTCACCGATCAGCGATCAGCGAAATGCTTTTACCAGCCAAGATATTCAGGAGAATAAATCTTGGCAAAACCGATTGATTTGCATCCAAAGTTCTTGCTGGGTTTTCTTTCTCCGATTTCTGTCGTCTCTTGAGCGTTCATCTTCGTTTTCGTAGCTGCAATTATACAAGAGTGAACTAATCAAATGGGAAAATGCGCTCTCGTATGACGCAGGTCAAAGATGGTGGCGTAAACGCGGGAAATGCAAGGCGGCGGCTCAGAGATGGGCAATAACAATCTGGTAAGACTTGTAATATTGCCAACAGCCTGAGTGACGTTTTCAAAAACTGTTGTCAGGCATTATTCTGATGCCAACAGTCCATTTTCAAAGGAAATTACACTCATTTTCTTCTGTGTGTCGCATCCATTCAGAACGTGGGCGATCATGGCTCTCCACATCTTCACAATTCCCTATCTTTTGGAATAGGTAGTAAGTTTTGTATTTTTTGTTACCTCTTCAAATCCCTCTTCTATCATCCATTTACGCAAGCTCCTAAGTTAGGTTACTCGCTTATTTCCCGCTGCCATCAATATACCCTGTGAGTAACCGATTCTCCAATCCCTCTTTCCTCATTATGGCGGTTTTCTAAGCGTAGCTTAGATGTGGCGGCACAAGGCCGAAAATGTGAAGCTCCTACAGAGGATCGAACTCACTAATCAGTCGGAATTGATCGAGAAAGACAAGCTTACAAGCCACAACACTGTATCGATGCGTCCCTATTTCCTTATTATAAAATTTCAGCTCTTTCTGATTCTAATTGTTCTTATATATAAATTCCTCATAAAACTTCCTGGTTGTTCACATTTAAAATCCATGGGATTCGTAGCATTCCCGCCCGCCATAGAATCACGTTTTTGTAGCCTCAGGTCTCTTCTTCCTCTGTGAAGAGATTACCCAACATTCACCGCCATATACGATATAATATCAAAAGTTTAGTGATCTTTTACTTGTTTCTAACATAATTTTCCTATTCCTTATTACTTTGCTTAGTTTGTTAATGGGCATCTTTAACTATTACAATGCGCCTTCTGATTTCAGTGTCCTCTTTAAGAACACTTTCTAAATATTTAGATTTCTGTAACTGCTTGATTTTGGTGTTGTAGTTCGCATTTTACGCCGTTCCACTTGTGCATCGCGGACAAGTGATTAAATTGGCGGCTTGTAGACAAGAAATTGAAAATACATGTGCAGTAAACCCACTGGACACTTTGGCCAACGTTGCCCAAGCAGTATTTCGCCGTACAAATAAATGTCTAGAAGCTAAATGCCACCATTTTGAACATCTCTTGTGGTTGTAAATTTCAAATTTAATTTGTATTAATCTTGTGATGTCTGAATACATTTAGTATTACAGTATATATACAAATTATTTCTTTCCTGAAGTTTGTGTTCATTTTTCTCGCGGGCTTTGTATATAAGTGACATCTGTACGTCTATTCCTAAATAAATAAACATACACATTGTTCATGGATACACACTGAATGACCTATGTTGGTTGAATCCATGATTAGGCTATTTAAATATTTGTGGTATAAGCCATCTTGTCTGCCAGGAATCCCGATGTTCCGGACAATAAAAGAATGGGTGTGGCAAAATGCCTCGTCCCTTCCAGTAAAATAGTGTCTTGGGCGGTGACTTTAATTTCAAACGAACCACTTGGCACACGCGCGCACACTCACGCTTAGAAATTTCTGACAGCTAAGTCCAGAAATTTATTTTATTTTATTTTATTTTTTTAGGAGCTCCAGCTATCTCTCTGCGCACAATTATTTTCTCTCTTTTTGAATTATGTTGTTCTTTATATATATATACATACGAAATTCATCCACGTGTGAATTTATTTTTTTTGAAACGTTGAATTGATTTATTCTGAATATTCCCAACCTCTTCCTGTTACATATCTCATCCGTGGCTATCATAAACAAATATTCTACACGTATAAAAATAGATCATTTTTTCGTAAATTGCATCGTTACGTATCCAAAATAAATACCGAAAGATATTTGGTGCTTTTCTTTTTTTACTTATTTTTCTTGAAATAGATCAATAATACTAATTTGGCAGAGTATATATCAATAGAGAAAATTTAAAGGCAAATATTTGCTTAATTTCTATTCCATTATTCGACATCGATATTTGGTTGTCAATCAGCTACGAATTCCTCAGTTCTCGTTAGTTTTCAATTACAAAATAAGGACTGAATTTGAAATAGACAAGGTGCAAAAGACTTTCGTTTAAATTTCTCGCTGATTTTCCTAATTATATGAAAACTTCTTACTTCACAAATCTATTTATTAATCTACTTGTCTGACTGTCGCTCGACCTCGCCTGAGATAATCGCGCATATTTCAGCGTCTGAGATATTCACGTATTTCTCAGGGTCTGAGATAATGACGTATATTTCAGGGTCTGAGATAATGACGTATATATCAGGGCCTGAGATAATGACGTATATTTCAGGGCCTGAGACAATTACGTATATTTCAGGGTCTGAGATATTCACGTATATTTCAAGGTCTGAGGTGTTCACGCATATTTCAAGGTCTGAGATATTCACGCATATTTCAGGGCCTGAGATAATCATGCATATTCAGGTTCTGAGATATTCACGTATCTTTCAGGGTCTGAGATATTCACGTATATTTCAAGGTCTGAGATAATCACACACATCTCAGGGTTTGAGATATTGACGTATATTTCAGGGTTTGAGATATTGACGTATATTTCAGGGTCTGAGATATTGACGTATATTTCAGGGTCTGAGATAATCACGCATATTTCAGGGTCTGAGATATTTACGTATCTTTCAGGGTTTGAGATATTTATGTATCTTTCAGGGCCTGGGATATTATCACGTATATTTCAGGGCCTTTGTTGAAGTTTGTAAAGCCCAATACACAGAGAAAGTCATCCGACCTCAATTAAAATATATTCATGCAACATAGTAAAGTTTGTTTTTTTTTTTTAATTGCTCGTTTAGGACGCTGAACTCCAGCCAGATTTTAGTGATAGGTAGTTTAAAGATCATATTTAGATTTCTCGGCGTAACAAAATACTTTCTTACATTTTCACTTTCAAATGTAACCACGCGTCGTTTTGGGTTTTTTTTTAATTTCCGATTTTCATGGAAATTACAACTTTCGCTAAGACATGCTGATCAATCTGAGTATAGTTATCTTTTGTAGAAAAAAATTAATAGCTCTATATTTTCATAGTCAGAATGAGCGAATAATTCTAAATTTATACGAAGCTTTCTCTACTTTTTACCTCTGCTTCTTCTTTCGTCCCTATTTAAAGGGATATTTAGTGTCAGTGTCAACACTGTTTATGTAGTAGTAGAAGGCATCCATTTATCTCGCAAGATAATGGCATGGCTCCGTTTGGTCAAAATTTAGTCCTTTTTATGAGCGGTGTCTAGAGTGGCTTAACAGACCAATGTTTGCATGGCACTTTCTTCTGCAGTTGTGACAAACGAAGCTTAAATATGGAACAAAGGTTTGATTTTCTTCTCTGCATCCTGCGTTTCTTCGCGATTTCCTCCGGTTGGTTTGGCTTTTTCCCGCTCTTCGAGAACAGCATGGCGCCAGCCGATGCGATCGTCTGCTAGTTCTTTTTCAAGTTCCTCTTGCAATCTTCCTTGAAACGTAGTGTAGGTCGGACTACCGGACGGTGTCCCGTGGCCTGTTCACGGTACATGATGCAGTCATTCATTCAATGTGCATGACCCAGCCATCGAAGACAGATCGAGAAGATGCATGACCCAGAAGTCAGCTTGCTCCAGCACAATAGTTCTAGTGATGCCGAGGATACGTCGTAGGCAGTGAAGATGGAAGCTTTCCAGACGGTTTTCTTGACTGATGTACGTGTGTTGGCGGAATATTTCATAGGCTGACCAATATAATCTCATGGCATGTGACCAAATAAGATTTATTTTTCAACATATCCCCACCACTTACGTTTCATACACTTCTTCCATCCGTACTCTAATGCTTGGATGATTTCCACTCCTGTTGATCAAAAATAGTATCAACAGCAGATATAACTCCATCATGTGATACTCATTCCCGGCCAAGTGTTTTCATGTTGGGAATCAACTGATATATGGGGCCCAACAGGGAGATTGATCAACTAGTTCAAAGTTACAGTCATGCACAGAAGCCATTGAACCCAAGGGATTGTCTACTGGAGCATTGTCATGATGAAGCAAGACCCCTTTCATCAGTTTTCCTGTGCGTTTGGTCTTGATATCCTTTCATAACTACCTCACTAAGTTAGTTTAGTACTCTCCATTGATGGTGTGGCCCTTTTGAAGATAGTCAATGCACACAATGCCTTTTGCCTCCAACAAAACTAGGATCATAACCTTCCCTTCAGATGAAACGATCTTGGCCTTCTCAGAGCAGGTGAGGAGGAGTCTTTTGATGACATGGATTATCTCTTCGCCTCTGGCTAAAAGTAATGAACCCAACACTCATCCTAGGTTATGAAACGTTCAAGTAAACCAGTTGGGACTTCTCAAAACAATGGACTTTACTGCGATATAATCATTCTAATGCGCTTTTGATCAGGTGTCAGCTGTACCTAAGG